GGTGAGGATAAAAAAAAAAAAATGTCCATAGTATCCACAGCAATCTATAGATTCAATGCAATCCCCATCAAAATACCAACGGCATACTTCACAGAACTAGATCAAATACTTTAAAAGTTTGTATGGAACCAAAAAAGACCTCGAATAGCCACAGCAATCTTGAAAAAGAAGAACAAAGTTGGAGGGATCACATTACCAGGTTTCAGGTTATACTACAAAGCCACTGTAATCAAAGCAGCCTGGTACTGGCACAAGAACAGGCATATAGACCAGTGGAACAGAACAGAGAACCCAGAAATAGACCCCAAGGCAATATGCTCAATTAATATTTGACAAAGGTAGCAGGAGCATACAGTGGAGTAAAGACAGCCTCTTTAATAAATGGTGTTGGGAAAATTGGACAGCTACATGCAAAAAAATGAAACTAGACCATCAGCTTACACCATACACAAGAATAAACTCAAAATGGATAAAAGACTTAAATGTGACTCATGAGTCCATAAAAATCCTAGAAGAAACTGTAGGCAACAAAATTTCAGACATCATACATAGCAGAATTTTCACTGATACACCACAACAGAAACAAAGGAGAAAATGAACACATGGGACTACATCAAACTCAAAAGCTTCTGCACAGCAAAAGATACAATCATCAAAATGGAAAAACCCACTGTATGGGAGAACATCATTGCCAATGATACATCAAATAAGGGGTTAATTTCCAAAATATATAGAGTAGTCCTACAACTCAACAAAAGGAAGACAAAGAACCCAATTAAAAAATGGGCAGAGGAGCTGAATAGACACCTCTCCAAACAGGACATACAAATGGCCAAGAGACATATGAAGAAATGTTCAACATCACTAATCATCAGAGATGCAAATTCAAACAACAATGAGGTATCGCCTCACACCTGTCAGAATGGCCGCCATCAACAAATCGTCAAAAACAAGTATTGGCGAGGGTGTGGAGAAAAGGGAACTCTAGTACACTGCTGGTGGGAATACAGACTGGTGCAGCCACTATGGAAAACAATATGGTGTTACCTAAAAAATTAAAAATTGAACTTCTATTTGACCCAGTGATCCCACTTCTAGGAATATACCCTAAAAAGCCTGAAACACCAATCAGAAAGAATATATGTACCCCCATGTTTGTAGCAGTACTATTTACAATAGCTCAGATATGGAAAAAGCCCAAATGTCCATCAGTGGATAAATAGATAAAAAAGCTGTGGTACATATACACAATGGAGTACTATGCAGCTGTAAGAAAGAAAGATCTCTCATCCTTTGAGTCGACATAGAGGGACCTGGGAAGTATTATCCTAAGTGAAACAAGCCAAACAGAGAAAGACAAGTATCATATGATCTCACTTATTTGTGGAATATAATGAACATAACAGTTTGAGGAATGGGGTAGTCCCTGAGGCGTGGAAGTGGGGTACAGACTGACAATTCCCAGAAGAGGGGGTGCTGGGGGAGAGATAAACCACAGAACTTATATACATGTGTGCATGAACAATGGACATGGACAACAAAGCTGGAGACAGGGAAGGGAGGGAGGAGCAGGGGGGAATCAGTGGGGGGAAAAGGAGAAACATCTGTAACAAAAATGAAATTAAAAATTAAGTTTAAAAAAACATTTATTTTTAAATTACAGTTTACATATTATATTAGTTTCCATGATTAGACATTATATAACTTACTAAGTGATCATCCTGATGTCTTGCACCCATCTGACAAGTTACACAGCTATTAGAATATTACTACTATATTCCCTATGCTGCACTTTATATCCACATTTTGTAACTACCATTTTGTACTTCTCAATCCCATCTCCTTTTTGACCCATCCCTCAATTCCCTTCCATCCTCATAACTGTCGAATGTTCTCTATAATGTTTCTGTTCTGCTTGTTCATTTATTTTGTTTTTTAGATTCCACTGTTGATATGTATTTATTACCATGTTATTATTCATTTTTGTAAAACTTTTTTGCTCCTTCTTTTTAAAGAAGATCCTTTTTACATTTTATATCATACTGGTTTGGTGGTGATAAACTCTTTTAGCTTTTTTCTTGTCTGGGAAGTTCTTTATATATCCTTCTTATAGAAATGTAAATTAAAACCACAATTTGATATCTTTGTATACCCACCTGGTCAAAAATGAAAGACTTTCAAGGATGTTCACAAGGATGGCAAGTAATTGAAACTGATTCACTGGTAGTGAGGATGTAATTGATGTAATTGATAAAAACTGGCCATATCTACTAAAGCTGAGCATACTCATCCTACCCTCTGACCCAGGGATTCAACTCCTGGGTTTCGTCCCAAGAAATGAGTACATGGGTTCACCAAGGGTCATGCTTGAGAATGTTCATAGCAGCTTGCTTCATGCTAGCCAGAAATAAAAACCAATCTGTCAGCAGTAGAATGGACAAATGCATTCTAGAATATTCACATAATAGAATAGTGTATCAAAGTGAGATAAATAATTTAACTATACAAGTGGTCCTTCAGTGACTGCAGCCTTGGCCAATATCTTGAGAACCTCACGAGAGACCCAGAGCCAGAACTGCCCAAGCCACTCCTAAATTCTTCACTCACGGAAATTGTGTGGATGTTTATTGCTTTAAGCCACTAATTTCATGAGATCTGTTACACAGCACCAGATAATCAATACACTGTGTGATAAAGGGTTTCAGCTAGACAGACTTGACCCTCTGAGCTGGTATATTGATGAATGATGCCCTTGTAACGGCTGGGAACATGGGTCCCAGGCTCCAAGTCTTCCTTTCTACCACACTATTTGCCATGTCAACAACCTATAGATTTTCATGGGCACAAATTTCCTTGACCCACATCCCCCTGCTGTCATGTAAAGAGGACAATTGTGAAAATATAAAGGAGGGTTTTGTTGTTTGGGGGGAAACTTACGAGCAGAACAGTATCAGAGTTTACTCAGTCCTGAAGCTTTCAGAGGGGATTAGGCCAGACCTAGTTGGACTGAGCCCGTGGCTAGAGCTCCTGTAGAGGGAGCCTGCCTGGAATGCATCTCGCTCATAGGGATGATGAGGCAGGGACCATCTGTACCTCCAACACGGAGCTGCTTGAGGAGAGGAATGATCTCACTAGAAAGGGGACTATTTTATCCAATGCTGGCTGGACCCTGCTGAGCTAGCTGTCTGCTGAGCTACTGAAAGGGGACAGGAAGTGAGTCTCCAGGACTATTCCATTTGTTTCTCCTCACCTCCTGGATTCCCAGCACGTCACTGATCCCCATTGCCAGGCTGTGCTTTAAACACAGTAAATATCTGCTGGCTCACTGGTCAATGCAGAAAAAAACACGTTTTTCATTCTCAGCAAGAAACTCAGGAGGTAACTTGGGCAGACACTAAGAGAACAGCATCAGCAAACTAATAAACCAGACAGGACTGGAGGCCCGTCCACGCTGCCTGGAACCCCACCTAACCATTTTAGATAAGAATCCTCAATTGTCCCCAGCCGTTTGCCCTTCGTCCTTATTGCAAATCTCATCCCCATCAGACAAATCCTTGGCATGTAGCTTCTGTGCCTTGTTTGCATGCGGCATTGAGAGGTCTGTACACATCCCTCGGCCAAAGCGGCCGCCTCCCCCAGAGAAGCCCTCCTAGGAAACCACAGGGAAATACGAACTCTGCGTCCCCCTGCCCTCTCCTGCCACAAAGCATGCTGGGCTGCTGCCCAGGCCCACGGCTCCACTGGGGCTCTGTGCTGCTGTCCTGTGCGTGGTGGGCACCATTCTTCTCAGATTGCTAAGCCGCCAGCTTTTATTTGTGGTCATTGAGGCCGATTATTAAATCTTGTTCATCCAGAAGTTCTTTACTCACTCAGGCATTTAAGTCTCACTGGCTACTCCATGTCACTTAGTGATGACTCTTGGCAGGAGTGGAGGAACCTGCGCGTTATCACTTGGAATCACGTAGCCACGGGTCTGTGTTGGACGTGGAGGGAAGTGGGTAGGTTTGGTGCTGGGCTGAGCAGGAGGGAGCCGAGCGGCACACACCTGACCCTAGTGGGGTCCCCAGAGGCTGAGGCAGGACACGTGCATGGAGAAGTGGCCCCACCAATGTTTTCTGAAACAGAGGCCTGAGGAGGGAAGTCTTGGGAAATTTCTGCTCTCACACATTCTTCTTTTCCCTGTCTCTCCAGCAACTCCCTGCCAGTATCCAATAGTTGGGAGTTTTTAAAACTAAGAAAGAAAACCAAAAATCTACTGTGAATATTCCACTAGCTTTTAAGGGTGGAGAACCTGCTACACCAAGACAGGGCACACCTTTGTGCATGAGCTTAAGAGCTGGGAGAAAAGACAGTCCCCACCTCAAGGTAGGCCCAGGGATCCAAATATCCTGGCAACCCCAAAGCCCTGATGAGAGGGGCCAGAACTGGATGATCCTCTGTGGACAGGAGGTCAAGTACGTTGTAAATAACTGTCCTTGGTGAGGGGGGGCAGAGCTCCAGAATAAATTGTTATCTGACTTAATAACCAACACCCCTTGAGGAGGCTGTGTTTTCCAGTTCTCAGGGGCTGACTGTACTGGGAAAGAGGGAGAAGCCCCCTGCACCCATGCAGGCCACCCTGCTGCTGCAGGAAGTACTGGCTTCCCCAGGGACCCCAGCTGCAGCCCTGCTGTTCTTGCCTATGGCCCTTGTTATTTGCATATAAACACTTAACTGTTTACACTTTAATTCCTTATCTCATGGCTAGAGTTAGTATGAATGATACATTTCAAATATGTATTTTTAAACAATGTATTAGGGCCAAGGGTGGGGTTTACTCATTTTCCTCTGCCCCTTCCGCAGTTGATTCTCCTGCATAAGTCTTGGCTGAGACGGAGCCGGAGCCTTCACTGTGGGGTGAGAAGAAGAAGGCCAAGGCTTTTACTCTCGAAAGGAACAACTGAACTATTCATTATCTCCTCATTTAAGACAATATGTCTAAGTTGTTCCCAATCATTTACCTTTTGGCAATAGACCCCTCCTGCACATTCTTGCCAATGGAGGCAGCGAGACGTTCAAACATACTCTTCAGCCAAAGCATTAGCCTCCTCCATAAACCGCTCTCCTAGAAAACAGACAGGGAAATATGAGCTCTGTGTTTCCCCTGCTTTGTCCCACCACAATCCTTTATCCCCTCACACTTACTTCCATCTGATCCAGTGAGCCTTCCCGACTCCTGGGAGGAAAATGCATACCGACAATTAGTGATTCGTGCCTTTGTCCGTGCCTCTCACACGCGTAGCTCTGGTCTTATTAGGACTCAAAGGGAACCTGGGTCCATACTCGAGAGCAAATAGTTGACCACAGACCTGAGACCCTGAAAATGATCCCTTGCATGTGGGCTTCTAGAAGTTCTTTCTCTGTGTCTGTTTAAGATGGCCCACAGCATCCCTGGGAGACCTTTGTAGGTGGCTTGGCATGGGGTATAGACAGGATTTTCACCCCGCCCCCCTTCTTGGCCCTTGGACAAGTGCCCTCGTGCAGTGAAAAGAAAATGCACACGCACCCTGGGCAGAAGCAGTGTGCTCTCTGCAGACGCAGTCCACTCGGGGCCCCTTGGGACTGGGTCTCACATGCATCATGTGCTGGGGCGGGGAGGGGGTGTTTTTATTTTCCGAGCTGCTTTATCCAGTAAGTTAAATTACACCAACTAAATGCCTGAGTCCAACAGCAAAGTTATCTAGCTGGCTGACCTGCATACTCAGACTGCCACTGATGAGTGAGGGACTTGTGAAATCAGTTGTAAGACCATAACCGGCACCAAAATACAAACTATTCTTTTTGAATACAAACAGAATAGAAAAAGTCAGTGTGCGTAATAACTTTGTTTCAGAAATGACTACTGTCTGTCTGTATGTGTACCAAGTGGTGACATAACATGTAGCTCTCAGCCCAGGCACAGTATCATCTACAGAGAAGTCTCCACGGGAAAGAACTATCTTTCTGCCACTCACCAGCAGTGTGACCATGGGGCAAGATATCTTCCCTTCCCCATCTCCACTTCCTTTTTTTTTTAAATCCTCACCTGAGGACATTTTTCCATTTTTCATTCAGACAGAACAGGAGGAACAGAGAGAGAGAGAGAGAAACATCGATGTGAAAGGGACGCATGGAGTGGCTGCCACCCGCACGACCCAACCAGGGCCGGGGACAAACTGCAACCGAAGTATGTGCCCTTAGCGGGAACCGAACCTGGGTCTCTCTGGACCGCAGGCCAACACTCTAACCACTGAGCCAAACTGGCCAGGGCACTTTTTATTAAAGGAAAAGACAAACTACTGTCTAAGATCTCTCCCAGATCAAATGCCATGAGTTATGGATAAAGGGGAGAGAGAGAGTAGGGATCTGAAAACCAGTAGGATGAGAGGAATTTTTCCTGCTACTTTACAGGAAGGACTCACATATTCTACCTTCCATCAGCCTTGAAGGAGACTAGCGCCCTTACCCTGAGACCATGTGGCCTTCCCTGCCCTTCCCCAGAGCCTCCACCACCAGCAGGAACAGGTACCACCAACACCTCTCCCTCTGCACCGTTTCCTTAAAGGACTAGTGACAGCAGACGCATGTGTGCCAGTCCCATTGTCTCAGCTTTGCCTAGGGAGCTCATTTTGCAAAATCCAGGCAAAGCATCAGGATGAAGAAGTATTCCTTCATTATTAGGTGGTTTCCTCGCTGTAAAATGAGGAGACTGAAATAGATGAGTTCTATGTTCTCCTCTAGTTCTATTTTTATTTACATTCTCATTAGCACTTATTTTATAATGAATTTACTCCTGGGACATAGTTTTCTTATCTTCAGTTTCTTCTCAGGTATCTTTTTCTTCTGTGCAACCTCCTGTTCTGGTTTAGGAACAATCTGCTCTTTTTCAGTAGGATCACCTCAGTGTGGCAGGGAGAGCTCAAGTGTGTGGGTTAATCCACCATGAGCTCTGAAGTTCTACGCTGCAACTTGGGAGTTTTGTTCACCTGAAAGGTCCCACTGACCAAAGAAAGAATCTATGTCTAAACACTTATGCTCTGCGTTCCTTTCTGCATTTTAAGCATGTGCAGCAAAAATCCAGCACTTTATTAGGCCACTGGCCTGAGTCCAGCCCCACTCTTTGGCCTGGGCACACCTACCAACTCCACTATGGCAACACCGGAATGGCACACAGTGCTTCTGTAAAGTGACATCCTTCAGATGCTTGGTGGCTTTTCAGATGTGCATACCCCTGATGGCCTGGGCAGTTCACAAATGTTCTTAAACTGAACACAAAGGCTTAATTAAACTCTTGATTTTCCTGATTTTGTGGGGTTTTCTGGGTCAAATGAATAGCAAACCATTTTCAGAGGTCACCTCAGGCTGCTTACAGGAAGAAGAAGTTCCTTTAATTCTAAAATTCTTCTTTAAAAATTGCCAGACCCAGCGTTGGCTGGTGTGGCCAGAGGTTAGAGCTTTGCTGCCCATACCCCAGCCTGGATCGGGGGCACATGCGGGAGGCAATAATCAATGTGTCTCTCTCACATCAATGTTGCCTTCTCTCTTTCCCTGTGTCTGTCTGCCCCTCCCTTCCACTCTCTCTTTCTCTCTCAAAAAAAAAAAAAAATCAATAGAAAAAGTATCCTGAGGTGGGGATTATAAAAAGAAATTGCTAGTCTCATATTTACCTTGTTCTTCTTCCTGTACACACCTGTTTTGGAAGAAAACAACATCATGGTTATTCATCACAATGATCATTATCTCTAAGGCTTTATTCATCCCCTTGTAAGTGAGATGATAACTTTTTTCAGGACAGGAATTCTGCGGAATAGTCCTTTGACTCTTCCATAGTCCCTAGCTTGGGATCCTGCATGCAGCTGGCAATGCATGTTATTGGCTGTTTTAGATAATATTCAACAGATAATTCCTAATAAAAACTCCTAGAAGTAGGAAAATAAAATAAAAGTGTCTACCAGACACCTGTACAGCAGCTTTGTTTTAAGGTCAAGAACAAGAGTAGGATGCCTGTTATTATTGTTATTATTCATCAATGTTGAGGTGGTCCCAGTTAATTTAATGTAAAAAAAAAAAAAAAAAAAGAAGTACTGGAAAGAAAGAAACAAATGTATTTGACATGAGATGATGCACAACCTAAAAAGCCCAAGAGCATCGATTACAATTTTATTGGCAGTACTGCGAAAATCCAGTGAGATGGCTAAATCCAAACCCTGGAGAGCAACGTGCAAACCTCAACAGCTTTCCTATACACCACAAATGACTAATTAAAAAAGGAAAGAAAGAGCTTATTTACAATAGCAATAAAAATGCGTAACAACCAAGGAATAAACAAAAAAATGTGTAAAACCTTTGTGGTGAAAACATTAAAAGTATTCTGAAGGACATTAGGAAAAACACACAATATGAGATACCATGTTCCTAGAATGTTGCAAAGATGTCAATTTTTCTCAAATTAACCTACAAATGCAGTGCAATCCTATTCAAATTCCAAGAAAAATTTTAAACAAAAACTGGCCAGCTAACATTTGGTAGAGAAAATATGCACAAAATAACTATGAAATGTATAAAAAAAAAAAAAAAGAGAGAGAGAGAGAGATTAAAAAAAAAGCAGGAGCTTACCCTACCAGATATCAAAATATGTTACAAAGGAACTGGAATTACATAGTGATACTGCTTCCGGGACAGAAAAAGATAACAGGATCAACAGAATCGAGTCCTGACAAAGATAGCATTTGAGGTCAGTGAAGAAAAAAATGAGCCATGCAATAAGAAATTTTAAAACAAATGGATCTTCATATAGGGGAGAACCAGTCAGCCACACTAAAAACAAATAAAACCAATGATAGACTGATTTTTTTTAAAATTAGAAATGATAAGAAATGTTATAAAAAGGACTAGAAGAAAATATCAGAGACCCTTTCATACCACGAGGTGACAAAGGCCTCGCTAACCAAACCCCACCCCACAGCCCTGAGAAGCCTGGCAGAGAGGGTGGAGACTGTCCACACCCTCCCTACTCTTCACAGCCCTTGCCCTGTTCGTTTATGGAACTCCTTTCGTATTAAATATCTTAATCCTTACAGTGGCTTTCACTGAATTTCAATGTTTCAAATATCCCCAGTGCTTTTGTCTTTGAGGAGACAGAACAGTGGAGTAAGAAGCACAGGCTTTGCAGTCGGGCAAAATGGGATTCTGCTGGGGTTTTGCCACTGGGACCTTAAGTTGATCTCCTTCATCTAAGGAAGAGGGTGGTACTATCGTCCTCACAGGACTGTGGGGATTGAATCAAGCAACAGATGGAAAACTCTTCAACCTATGGTTGGCATAAACCAGTGCTAAGTTTGCTAATGGTGTCCCAACAAGGTGGCCAAATCTATCAAAAGGTCTGCCAGGCTCAGGAACCCTGTCCCACCACCAGATTATAAAAATATTGCTTCTATTTTCTTCTAGTACTTTTACAGGTTCTTTTTTTTTTTTTTTTAACCTCACCTGAGGCTATTTTTCTATTTATCTTCAGATAGAGTGGGAGGGACAGGGAGAGACAAGGAGAGAGAGAGAAACATCAATGTGACGAGAGAGGGACACATGAACTGGCTGCCTCCCACACCACCCGACCAGGGCAGGGGACAAACTGCAACTGAGGTACGTGCCCTTGATCAGAATCAAACCCATGACTCTTTGGTCCACTGGCCAACGCTCTACTGCTGAGCCAAACTGGACAGGGCCAGGTTCTTTTTTATTCTTTACATTTATGTAAAGATGTTTTTTAAGCCCTGGCCGATTTGGCTCAGCTGGTAGGGTGTCAGCCCGTGGACCAGAGAGTCCCAGGTTCAGTTCCCGCTAAGGGCACGTACCTTGGTTGCAGACTGTCCCCGGCCCTGGTTGGGGTCGTGTGTGGGTGGCAACCACTCAATGTGTCTCTCTCACATCGATGTTTCTCTATCTCTCTCCCTTCCGCTCTATCTGGAAAAAAAAAAGATGTTTTTTAAGATGAGAGAGATCTGCTATTATTTCCTCCTCATATAGTTAGGTAGCTTTTCTTTTACCATTTATTTAATTTTCTTCCACAGTTTAGAATATTAAAAGGTAACTTTAAAAATTGTTTTAATTTATTTTTGTTACAGATGTTTCTCCTTTTCCCCCAATGACACCCTTCTCCCATTCCATCCTCTGCCCCCCAGCATTGTTGTCTATGTCCATTGGTTATGCTTATATGAATAAGTTCTTTGGTTGATCTCTTTCCTCTCCCCCGCTCCCTCATCTGAAGTTTGTCAGTCTGAAACCTACTTCTATGTCTCTGGGTCTATTTTGTTCATCACAAAAGGTAACCTTTCATAAGTCTTAGGAGCATAGGGGTCTTAAGCCATTTGGTCCTTACACATCTCGGCTCTGCTCCATGATGTGTTGACCTTGGTATTGCTTTCATGGGGGGCCGCCTTTTAAAAAATTGTTTACCATATTTTTAATTTTCCAGGGGAGTGGAATGCCTCACTATTGCCTCAGAAAATGGTGACAAATCTCACAGAAGGACTAGGACCAGGGGGCTGGAGGACTCAGGGAAGGCTTCATGAGGAAGATGAACTTGAGCTGGCTTTTGAGAGGCTCACTGGACTTCCGCAGGCAGAGCAAAACGAGGGAATTTTAGATGGGCAAAGGCACACACAGCAGGGGGTGGGCATGCTGAGCTAGCCTGTGGGAGGGGCTGCTCTGGTGGACGAAGGGCGGCCCGGCTGCTGGAAAGGTAAATCAGGTTGGATTAGTGGGGTACAGTCAAGATGGTCAGCCTAGTAAATCACTCTTTTAATGTTAGCACCTGCAGGTAAACCATGATGTAACTGAACGAGAGGGACATAGGCGCGCTCCAGGGACAGGTGACTATAACATGACCTGCTGTAGAGGAGCCTGACGCAGGGTTTAGGTTGCAGTGTATTCACTGGCCCTATTTACACCATGCCTTACACACTGGAGAAGAAAGCTAAGTAAATCTGATGAATTGACAGGATCACACTTCTACCTTTTAGCCATGTCCTTTCTGCCAGGGTGACATAGCTCCACGAGGGTGGAGATTCTACATCTCTCCTCATTTCAGCCGACAAGGAAAGACATCAGTGGTAGAAAGAGAGTAATTGGTGAGTGCATCAAATCGACATTGTTCATTTTGAGTTGAGAAAATGTTGCTTTCTTGTCATTTTGGGCCTATTAAGTTTCAAACTACTCTAGTGGTTTGTTATTGCGATTTCACTTCCACAGACATCTCTGGGAGTGGGCTCCTTTAAAATCCCTGTAGTATAATGTGTAATACAAGAGAAAAGCAGATCTCAGTGCTGTGACTAAAGAGGCGTATCGAGTAGGAGTAGGGGGAGGGTGGCTTTGATTCTCTGTTTGTGGGCTCTGACTCTATTCTAAACACAGAATCTATTTTGCAAATTTGATTTAACTGTTGTCTTACCAAAAAGAAACAGAAGATTACAAAAAAGAACGCTGCTACTGCAATCACAGGTGATGCTATGAGGAGTTTGTTGATATTCTCTTGCTCTTGGTCTTCTGTTATGAACTAAAAAAAACACACACACAACAATTTTAAAAAACTATTCTCCAGCCTGTTCTAAAGAACAGCGCAGCACTGTTCACTGCCGCCGCAACCCCGCTCCTTCAGGTGAATAGCTTACAGGCTCTTCGAGAACACACCCCACCTACTGGGCTATGTAATCTGAGCATCAGCACTGTCGTGTACAATTTATTTATCTTGTGTGTTAGGGCCTCTCCTCTACCCTACGGACAGCGGCACTATTCTCTAAATGGGCAAAGAGGGAGATCACTGTCTTAGCCAAAGTCACATGGCCGAGACGAGGTTCAGACTAGGCGCCCTGGCCATCCGGCCGGGGGCTTTCATGGCATGTCCTAGCCTGCCTACAAGCCCAGGTCCCGGGTTGTAGGTCTTGTCCTCACCTCACTGGGCTCCTGCAGTTCCTGCCCAGAGTGGCCTTCTGTCCTCTCATTCATTTGTTCAGTATCCCATTGTTGCGTATCCCAATCTGTCTTGGAAACCTTTACTTCTTGCTGTCCCTTGAGCATCTTCATCAGGAGCTCTGTTCCAGAAAACAGTTTCCTCAATTTATTTTTGTAACTTGAATTGTACAATTCAGATTTGAGAGAAAGGTTCCCTCTGTTGTTTTTCAAGTGACTCAGGAGCATATCTGCATCATGTGCATTTGAAAAGGGAGTATAATGAAGGGTAATAACACTGATTCTATAGTTTCTAGATTTCCCTCCAAGAAATAGGCGATAATGTAATTTAGTGCACTAATAACACCACTTTATCATTAAGGTCGAGCTGTTTACTTATGAGGGCTCCTGAACGCTCGATATTTTCCATTCCATGTGTCGCTTCCGGCTGGATAGTCAGCTCGGCGCTGGTCTTCTTCCGGGCACTTATGACCTTCATGAGTGGTCCTTCCATTAGTGATTTTTCCTCTGTAAAAAAAGATGAGACCACTTTTGATGTTGAAAGACTCATTGGAAATCTATTTGTCAGTTCACAGCCATATTTCCCAGTCAAATAAATTGGGAATCAGCAAATATTTGAGCACCATTTGGAGATGAGAAAAATAAACCCGAACTTAAACCTGTGATTGTCAACACAACAAAAGGAGAAAGGTATCTTGTAAAAAAAAAAAAAACAAACAGTGGTTATTTACTCAGAACATTCTATAGCATGAAATATAGTAACTATATTTAGGATTATCCCATTAGGATTATTCCCGAGGGCGAGTTGCCGGTCACTGAAGACAAGCCAAGGCTGGAAGACCCCACTCAGTTAGACTCTGCAGCTCTCCTGTGACTCCTCACACTCAGGTGCCCACCCTGTCCTGCCTCAGACGCAGAGGGAGCCTGCGGCCTCCTCTCTCCACTCTTCAGGGAGCTGTGTTCTTGCTGCCATCACAGATGACCACGATCAACACCCACTGCTAACAGGTCCTCATCCGACACGCCCTTCTCCACTCACCCAGCGATTCCTCAGCTCGGTCCCTGCCTCCACATACCCAGCCCCCATAACAGAAGGCTACATGTCTACCCTTGCTCTTTGCATCCGGGATGTATGTAAAGAGATTTGCCAGGCTGTGTGCCATAGTGGAATGTTCGATACATCTATGGAATAATACCTGGGGTCCTAAAATACAGAAGGGAAAAAGCAACTTTTGTCAGATGCCCCCTTTTCTTTCATTTCATGTCATTTCTTATATTTTCAGCTTTACTGGGGGAACCAACCAAAGCTTCTGACTGTGTGAAGGTGAAGTGTACCATTGTGCAGCTGGGTTTGTTCTCCAGAAGAACTGAAAGTATTGCTGGTGGTGGTGAGGGTCAGAGGAACAGGTAAGGGTCCTGAGAAGGAGGAGCATGGGCTCGTGGAGAGCCCAGCACTGAGAGCAGGAGCCCCGGGCACTAGGCGGCAGCACTTAACACTCTCTGATCTTGCTTTCACTCACCTGTAAAAGGAGATTAAAATGCCTGTTCTGCCCACCCTTGGGTTTGAAGGGAGTAATATAACTGGTCAAAACATTGTTTTGAAAAATAAGCAACACTGTGTTTATATGAGAAGCACAGCGTTATTATTTATGATGTGCCCCAGATCACTGACATAGACAGCATTGAAGCTATCTGGGCATGAAAGCACATTCTGAGTTATCAAGTAGGTGCCAATAAACTGAAGATGTAGAAAAATACTTAAAAGCACCTGAATGGTCCTGGCAGGTTTAGCTTAGCAGGTAGAGCATTGGCCCGTGGACCATAAGGGATGCGGGTTCAATTCCCAGTCAAGGTCACGTACCTGGGTTGCAGGTTCAATCCCTGGCCCTAGTCAGAGTCATGTGGGAGGAAACCAACAGATGTGTCTTTCTCACATTGATGTTTCTCTCTCTCTCTCTTTCTCTCTCTCTGTCTCTCTCTTTCCCTCCTTCTCTTCCTCCCTCCCTCCCTCCCTCGCTCCCTCCCTCCCTTCCACTCTCTAAAAATCAATGGAAATATATCCTTGGGTGAGGATTAAAAGAAAATAAAAAAGCACCGAGTGTGTGGTAGATAGAAAACCTGAGCTCCAGAGCAAGTTCAGAGCCGGACAGTCTAAGAGGATGGATGTGGGCCTCCCATCCATCAGAAGGGCTTGGGAGCAGCTCCTGGTGATGGATCCAGACACTCCCAAGTTCCAAATAAAACTTTCATAAAACAGCATCATTTGTACTTTAAAAATTTTTTTTGAACTGTATCTTTACTCTTCAAAGTTTTACAGATGCCCCTCCTTTCCCCCGCCACTGACACCCTCCACCCCACCCGGCCTTCATCCACACTGTTGTCTGTGTGCATTGGTTATGCATACATGCTCACCAGTTCCTTGGCTTTTATCTTTTCCAGCTGCCCTCACCCCCTTCCCTCTTAGGTTTGTCAGTCTGTTCCCTACTTCCATGTCTCTGGATCTACATTGTTCTCAGCTTATTTTGTTTATTATGTTCCACAAATAGCTGAGATCATGTGATACTTGTCTTTCTCTGATTGGCTTATTTCGCTCAGCATAACACTCTCCAGGTCCCTCCATGTCATCTCAACAGGTAAGAGATCTTTCTTTCTTACAGCTGCATAGTATTTCATTGTGTAAATGTATCCCTACCTGCCCTACACGGCAAAGGGCAATCGAAACCTAATGCATACAAAACAGTTTACAAACCGTGACACACTAATGAACAAGTTCTCATCTGGAAGTAAAGTACCAAGCAGAGAGCACACTATGTGGCCACTAGTGTTAATTCCCTCCCCTTCCATTCCTCTCTTGTTCCTTAATCTGACTTTTAGCCAGGGAGTAGATCTTAAAAATGTAGGGAGTGGAACTCTGAATGAATGATAAAAAATAATGCAGTTACATTATTTGTTTAAAATGTTGTCATTATTGATTAAAAAAAAAAAAAAAAACTAGAACATAAAATAAAATTTTAAAAGTTTTTCATCGGGCATTTCAGACTCACCACAAGGTGTGTTTGCCAGACAATCAGTCTCACAATGCAGTTTGACTGTCTCGGTGATAGCCTCAATATGGATTTTAAATTGGCAGAGGCAGCAGGCCAAATGTTTAGGTAAGATCCTATAAATAGAAACAGATAATTCAATTAGTGGCAAAGGAGTTACTTGAGTAGGTAAAGAGGTAGGCCGTGGCTACCACAGGGCTGGGCAAAACAGAGCTGCTGGGACACATCGCCTGAACACGCGGTAGCGATCAGTTGGCCACTTGCTGCTCTTAATATTGTAAATAAATAGAGAGGAGGACAGAAGGGTCAGAATGGCAGTGGGTATGGGATGCCTGGAATAAAGGTGACAGGGATTAGAATTGGGTGACACTGTTCTGTAGTCCAACTCAGAAGTATCTCCTTCTCCCAACCCAAAATCTCACTTTGGGTGGAGAGCACACAGGAAGAGGAAGACCTCTAAGAAGACTCTGAATAAATCCCCAACTTCCAGAGTCCCTTTCTCAATTCCTAACTGTGAGTGGTAAATATATCAGAAATTACTCTGGGCATAAAAAACACTGTGTGGTTAAATAACAATAGATTGCATTGGCCAAATATGGGCAATTTGAACATTCAAAAAAATAATGATAATGAGGTATAATATAATTAATAATTAATTTAAAGAAGAGCCCGTGAATTCATAATGATACTCAAAAAGAAAAGAAAGGAGCTATTATTTATAAAAGAATGCCAGCTAAGAAATGTAGAAGGAATAATAAATTAGAAAGAAGTGTCACTTTATAACCACCAATGTAATAATCAATTCAGACACGAATTATCACTGATGCAGAGTTGGGTAAAAAGTTGAGCATAGCCCTGGCCAGTTTGGCTCAGTGGTTAGAGCATTGGCCAGCTGACCAAAGGGTCAAGGGTTCAATTTCCGGCTCCAGGTCAGGATAATGTGGGAGGCAACCAATCAATGTGTCTCTCTCACATCAATGTTTCTCTGTCCCTCCCTTCCACTCTCTAAATATTTTGGAAAAAAAAAAAATCCCATGGAAAAATACCCTCCAGTGAGAATTTACCAAAAAAAAAAAATCACACATACACTTTCTGTCAAGATGGTGAGAAGGTAAACGTGGTATCGCCTCCTACAACAATTGCGTCAAAATTACAACTAAAATACAGAACCACCATCATTCAAAACCACCTGAAATCGAGTTGAATTAGTCCTACAGCTACGGAATTACAGCAGCAGCCACACTGAGACTGGTAGGAGGGGCGGAGGGGACGGGCTGGTCCCACACCCACGTGTGGCGGATAAAAATTAGGAGGAACACGGGCTGGGAAGCTCCTTCCTGAGGAGTAAGGGGTCCCCTTCCACACCAGGCCACCAGCTCAGGGTTCCAGTGCCAGGAAGAGAAGTCCCCATAACGTCTGACTGGAAAAACCAACGGAACTGAGGCTCAGGGAGACTGCGGCTGCCGGAGCCCCAGGCAGCGCCTCTTAAAGGGCCCGCGCACGGATTTACTCGGACTTGCTCCCTCTAAGCTCCAGCATGGGGGAGGCAGCTCGAAAGACACCACAAACATACGGGAAGAACTGAGTTGTTTGGCATTGGGGCGAGGGCTGGAGGCAGCATTCTTCTGGACAGACGTGCTGTCAGAGCTCTTTGTTCCTTTGATGAAACCTTCCCCCACAAGGCTGGCAGATGGCAGCCATATCTGAGACTCCATCAACCTGGCTGCCATTATTTGCCCCACCCTGGTGATTCTTTGGGGCCCTGTCCCACCCAACTTTCAGGTCCACCCAAGCTATTCCCAGTTACTTTACCACAGGATTGGCCTGTCTTGGATCCTGCTTCAGATTATCCTAAAGTCTCTCAAACAAGCAGCATCTAGTCTCAGCGAGCAGCATACTTCTCATTAAGTGGCTCCAGGCCTGGCACTAGCAGCAGCCATCCTTGGTTCACAATTTGGGTTTGCCTGGGCACCTTCAAGCCCAGCACAAGCAGCAGCCATCTGCAGATCACTTTGTAACTTATGCCTGGTGGCCCCGGGTAGAACACAGGCAGTGGCTGACCAGGCCCAGAGTCAGCACACCCAGTGATCAGCTTCAGACAATGTCAAAGCACTACCACTCAACCACCTCCACAAGTGACACACTCAAGGAGTGGACTCAGTGGGTAACAAAGCACTGCTAAAGTAAGTCTTTCTCTGTGTGGTAGGTCCCTGCATAGCTGTTCATCCAAGGTAGTCAGAGGTCGGTGGATAGTGGACACAGCCAGTCCTTACAGCTGATTAGCCTAAGTAAAACCCTCTCATTGATGTGCCAACAGCAGTCAAGACTCAATTACAACAGAAGGGTGTAAAGTCCACACAAAGGGTGCTTTGGAGGGCCCAGCTGGGAGACCAGGGAGGCTGTGCCACTGGACCCTATAGGACACCTACTACAATAGTCCACCCTAGGAAGCCTAGGATACATAGAAACTCTACCTAATACATAGAAACAAACATAAGGAGGCAGCCAAAATGAGGAGACAAACATGCCCCAAATGAAAGAACAGAACAAACTTCAGGAAAAGAACTAAACAAAACAGACATAAGCAATCTAACAGATGCAGAGTTCAAAAGACTGCTTATAAGGATGCTCAATGAACTTAGTAAAACCTTCAGTGAATTTAGTGAGGGCCTCAAGAGCATAAAAAAGGATCAGTCAGAAATGAAGGATGCGATAACTGAAATAAAGAATGATTTACAGAGATTCAATAGTAGAGTAGGTAAAGCCAAGAAGCATACCATTGATTTGGAATATAAGGAAGCAAAAAACACCCAATCAGAACAGCAAAAAGAAAAAAAAAAATCCAAAAAAATGAGGATAGTGTAAGGAGCCTCTGGGACAACTTCAAGTGTACCGAATTTCGCATCATGGGGGTGCCAGAAGGAGAAGAGAGAGAGAGCAAGAAATTGAGAATATATTTGAAAAAAATAATGACAGAAAACTTCCCTAACTTGGTGAAGGAAACAAACATACAAGTCCAGGAAGCACAGAGAGTCCCAAACAAGAAGAACCCCAAGAGGCCCACACCAAGACACATCATCATCAAAATGCAAAAGGTTCAAGACAAAGAGAGAATATTAAAAGCAGCAAGAGAAAAACAGTTAGTTACCTACAAGGGAGCTCCCATAAGACAGTCAGCTGATTTCTCAAAAGAAACTTTGCAGGCCAGAAGGGAGTGGCAAGAAATATTCAGAGTGATGAAAAGCAAGAACCTACAACCAAGATTACTCTATCCTGCAAAGCTGTCATTTAGAATTGATGGCCATATAAAGACTTTCCCAGACAAGAAAAAGCTAAAGGAGTTCATCACCACCAAACCGTTATTATATGAAATGTTGAAGGGTCTTCTTGAAGAAAAAGATAAAAATATGAACAAACAAAATGGCAATGAATACATATCTACCGACAATGAAATCTACAAACAAAATGAACAGGTAGAACAGAAACATTTTCATAGATACAAAAAACATTTTGTTGGTTGCCAGATGGGAAGGGTGTTGGAGGAATGGGTGAAAAAGGTGAAGAAATTAAGAAGTACAAATTGGTTGTTAGACTGACAAACCTCAAAGGGAAGTGGAGTGGGAGGGTGGGAAGAAATAAACCAAAGAATGTATATGCATATATGCATAACCAATGGACACAGACAATAATGCAGGGAAAGGCAGGAGAGGGGCGGGCATGGGGAGAAGAGGGTCAATAGGGGAAAAAGGAGGAACATCTGTAATACAGTCAACAATAAAGATAAGTTAAAACACACACACACAAATAAAACCCTACAAACCATACAAGAAAAAAATTAGAGTCCATCAAAATTTTAAAATTAAGCCCAGCCAGTTTGCCTCAGTGGATTGAGCATCTTGCCATGGACTGAGAGGTCCTGGTCTGATTCCTATTCAGGGCATATGGTTAGGTTGCCAGCTGGATCCCCAATGTGAGGCATGCAGGACGCAGCCAACTGATGTCTCTCTCACATCAATATTTCTATCTCTCTCTCGCTCTCTAAAATAAATCAATAGCCCAGTCCAGTTTGGCTCAGCGGTTACAGCGTTAGCCTGTGGTCCGGAGAGACCCGGGTTCGGTTCCTGCTAAGGGCATGTACCTCGGTTGCAGTTTGTCCCTGGCCCTGGATGGGTTGTGTGGGTGGCAACCACTCGATGTGTCCCTTTCCAGTCGATGTTTCTCTCTCTATCTTTCTCTCTCTCTCTCTCCCTCCCACTCTATCTGAACAAAAAATGGAAAAATGTCCTTGGGTGAGGAAAAAAAAACAATAAAAACATATTATTTAAAAAATTAAAAACTGTGGTCTTCAGAAATACTTTTAATAGAATGAAGACAAGGCACAACCTGGGAGAAGATATTTACTAAACACATATCTGAGAGAACAAACTTATATAAAGCACTCTTAAAACTCAATAATAAGATAAATATCCAATTAAAAATGGATTTGTACAGACACTTCATTGAAAAACATATTTTCACATAGACATTACACATAATCAGCTATTAGAGAAATGCAAATTAAAACCACACTGCCATACAAGTATATTCCTACAAGAAAGGCTAATTTTAAAAAACCAGAAATATTAAAATCAGGTGAAAATGTGGAGCAATTGCAACTCTTATCTACTGCTGGTGGGAAGGCAACATGGTACAACCACTTTATTTTTTAAATTTTTATTTATTTTTTATCCTCACCCAAGGACATTTTTCCATTTTAGTTCAGATAGAATGGGAGGGAGAATGAGAAAGAGAAAGATCAATGCGAAAGGGACACATCGAGTGGCTGCCTCCCATATGATCCCAACAAGTGCCAGGGATGAACCACAACCAAGGTACATACCCTTGATTGGAAACAAACCCATGACTCATTGGTCCGCGGGCTGATGCTCTAAGCACTGAGCACCCGGCCAGGGAGGTACAACTACTTTAGAAAACAGTTTAGCAGTTTCTTAACAAGGTAAACATGCACCTAGCATATAATGCAGCATTCCTACTATTAGGTATTTTACCCCAAAGCAATGAAAATATAAGACTCAAATATCCATTAACTGATGATTGCATAACCAAACCAGTATATCCACAGAATTGGAATATTACACAGCAATAAAAAGAAATGAACTACTGATAGATGCAACAATATGGATGAATCTCAAAAGGACTATGCTAGGTGAAAAGCCAAACACAAAGCCTACACTATACGTAATTTCTTTTACAAGACACTCTGGAAAAGGCAAGACTACAGTGACAATAATCAGAGTGGTGCTTGCCAGGGGCTGGTGTTGGGAGGAGGAAGTGACTGCAAAGAAACATGAGGGGCCCTTGGGATGACAAAGTGTTCTGTATCTCAAATGTGATAGTGGTACATCACTACACATATCAAAACTCACTGCCAGCTGGTGTGGCACAGTGGTTGAGTGTTGCCCCATGCACCTAGAGGTCTCTGGTTCGATTCCAGGTCAGGGCACATGCCCAAGTTTTGGGCCCAACCCCCAGTGGGGGGGGGGCCTGCAGGAGGCAGCCAACTGATGTTCTCTATCATCGATGTTTCTATCTCTCTCTCCTTCTCCCTTCCTCTCTCTCTAAAATCAATAAAGAAAAACAAATAACTCACTAATTTTTTTCTTTGTTTGTTAATCCTCACTTGAGGATATATTTTTCATTGATTTTGTTTGTTTGTTTAGAGAAAGTACAAGAGATGGAGGGAGGGGGAGAGAGAGAGAAAGAGAGAGAGAAAGAAACATCAATATGAGAGAGACACATGGATGGTTGCCTCCCACGTGACTCGGACCAGGGCCAGGGATCAAACCTGCAACCCAGGTTTGTGCCCTTGATGAGGAATCAAACCTGAAACCCTTCGGTGCCTGGGCCAATGCTCTAACCACTGAGCAACACCTGTCAGAGTAAATTTAATTTTAATTTAATTTAGTAAATTTAACGTGTGAATTTAATTTTAAAATATTACACCTCAATAAACCTGACGTAAGAAGATGATAAAGCAAACCTAAAGTAACAACTAAGCCAAAATAAATGTAAAAATAAAAATCAACTTACAGTTTTTCCAATCTTAGGGACACCGTGAGGATCTTATCAACTGTTGTATGGGATACTTGTGTTGCTCCCAAGTCTCTGTAGGAGAAGGCCCAAACATGCATGATGTGAACCCAAAGACAAAAATTCTATACTTAAAAAGACACTTAACAACATCTGGTTACTTCAATTCTGGCTTCTCTGTCAAGCCAACTCAAGAATTTACTTGGCATAGCCAACTCAAGAATTTACTTGGCATAGATGATAATTTCAGAGAGCTCTTCTTGAAGAAATTTAAATTTATTTGCATCATCAAATTAATGACCTTGGTGAACAGTAAAATTTTGTGTTTGTTATTTTTACCATTATCCTACTTGTCTTTCTCAACTGCATTCACCACTTGATTACTCTTTTGTTTTATTTATTTATTTTTTTTATCCTCACTCGAGGACATTTTTTCATTTTCTGTTCAGATAGAGCAGGAGGGAGAGAGAAGAAGAGAGAGAAGAGAGAGAGAGAGAAACATCGACGTGAAAGGGACACATAGAGTGGCTGCCACCCGCACGACCAACCAGGGCCGGGGACAAACTGCATCCAAGGTACATGTCCTTGGCAGGAACTGAACCCGGGTCTCTCTGGACAGCAGGCCGACGCTCTAACCATCGAACCAAACCAGCCAGGGCTTGATTACTCTTTTAAAAAATACATAATGTGCAACTTATTCCTTCTGAGATCAGAGGTTTTTCCTAAATACATCTACATGTTTCATATCCAAATGTGTTCTTCAACCCTGCTCCCTTCCTCTGCTGACTGTCTCGCCCTAGTGCATTCTTTCTTAATTATTTTTCTGTGCCAATAACTCTTTTACAATAAACCAGTTAAAATTTAAGTTATGACTTTTTAGTTAAAATGCAAAATACTTATCTTTGATTAAAGTAAGAAAAGAGCAGAAATCATCTCATGAGCCACGAGATGATTGCAATACTTACAAATACTTCAAAGCTGGCAAGTTAAAAAGATATGGATCTTGAACAGTTGTCAGAGGATTAGCATTGAGAATTCTGAAAAATGCAATGGAATTAAAATGATCTACATTTTCAATAAATGCCATAAACATTTATATTCATTTTGTTGGTACAAAACTCAAAAGTTTTTTAAAAAAATCACTTTCTGTCTTTACCTATGGGTCAGCCTTAGAATTTGTAATGCATTCTTTTTGGGGGAATTACCAAGGTCGCTAAATGATAAAGTGGAGAAGATAATGTAAAAACAAGAAAAAAGATAAAAGTGTGCCGAGGAACTTTTTAGATTGAAAACCCTATTAGTGACTAGGCTGATAGGAAGCTCTTGCTCTACAGGAAATATTATTTCCAGTGTCTTCCATAATTCAAGGTGCTTTTCTTTCATCTCCATAAATTTAAAAAATTCCAGTTTAAACCACCCAGTTAAAGAGAAAAGTAGTACCAATTTCTTGGTTTTGGAGCCAAAAAAAGGATAAATCTAAGAGGAACTGGTGAAAGCCATACTCCCATCACATACTCCCATGTGTATGCTTGTATCACAAGCTTTGTTACATTGTATGTAATCACATGTTTACTTGTCAATTTCTTGGGCTGTTAATGCCTAACATTTACTAGACGTTTGTTTAATGAATAAATAACATTTTGATTATATATCAATAATATGAATAAATTTGTTTTTTTGACACATTTTTATTACAAATGCTGAAATAAAATTTCTACTCAATTCTTCAAAATAAACAAGCAAAAAAATAAAAAACAAGGCGAAAGAAAAGAACATCTATTTTTGGATTAACTCTACTCAAGAATCATTAGTGTACTTTTGCAGGATATTATAAAGATGATTATCAGAGTTAATATTTATTAGCCTGCTGGGCATCTGCGATGAACATTTCACATTTAATCCTCATAATAACCTTATTGATATATATTGTTATTACCCCATATTATTATTACAAATGAGAAAACTGAGGCACAGAGAGGTTATAGAGCTTGTCCTAGGTTGTGAAGCTAGTAAGAATCAGAGCTGGAATCTGAACTCAGTTCTGACTCCAAAGTCTGTGTTTAACCTCTATGAAGAAAAGCAGTTTAAAATAACTGTTACTTGAACCTTAATCTTGAGACCACCAAATACAGAAATACCTTTCCAAATTTCATGTACCCATCTCAGAAAGCCTCTATGAGAATTACATTTTTTGTTTTTGTTCCAGTTTCCTAATCATCTCCCATGATTAAATATTTAACTAGCTTGTAGTCATTGAGACTTGAGAGATTTAAAACCATGTTGTAGGCAAATCAGTGAAAATGATGGAATAAGGACACCTGAAAATTCATCCCTAAATGACCAACAAAAAAACAATGGCAAAAATGGCCAGAATCAACTTTTTCAAACCCTGAAAATTTCACCAACAGACTTTCAGGAATCCAGGGGACATTCATTCAAGAGAAATGATTAATTTCTGTAAGAACAGTGATCTGTTTGCTTTATCTCATCCTAGAGTTTAGGTTTTTTTTAATCCTCACCTGAAAATATTTTTCCATTTATCTTCAGATAGAGAGAGGGGGAGAGAGAGAGAGAGAGAGAGAGAGAGAGAGAGAGAGAGAGAGAGAGAGAGAGACATCAATGTGAGAGACACATCAACTGGTTGCCTCCCGCTCGACCCTGACCAGGGCTGGGGACAGAACCTCAACTGAGGTACGTGCCCTTGACTGGAATCAAACCCTTAACTCTTTGGTCTGTGGGCAGATGCTCCAACTGCTGAACCAAATGGCCAGGGCAACTCACCCTAGACCTTTGCTCTCCATCCCACAGACCCCGTATCTCAGAGGGCAGAATGAAACAAAATCTCATTCCCCAAAAAACTGTCATTTACCTGTCTGGTGGTTCCCTGGAGACATCACTTGACAGATGTGTCTTTGACCTGACTGAGAGCTGTCTAGCACCAAAAACCTCTCTCCCCAGGGGGAATTTTGTGAAGAAAAAAAAAAAAAAAAATTGCAGGTAAATGTTTTTTTTTTTTTTATTATTATTATTTTTTTTATCCTCACCTGAGGATATTTTTCCATATTTTTGTATGGATAGAGTGGGAGGGAGAGAGAGGAAGGGAGAGAGAGAGAAACATCGACGTGAAGGGACACATCGAGTGGCTGCCACCCGCACGACCAGCCAGGGCCGGGGACAAACTGCAACCGAGATACGTGCCCTTAGCGGAACCGAACCCGGGTCTCTCCGGACCGCAGGCCGACGTTCTAACCGCTGAGCCAATCCGGCCAGGGCGCAGGTAAATGTTTTAACATAGCAGCTGCTGAGGCAACGGATAACAGTTGGTGCAAAAATAGCCTAACAAAAACAGCTTAAAAGAAAAAGCTGAGAAATGAGATGTTCAGAGAGACTCTAAAGTGCTCCAACATGTGCCCAGGAAACTGGAGAACATGAGACATATTACTGGGAATCTAGAAAAAACTATTAGCACTAAATAAATGAGTTCAGCAAGGTTGCAGCGTATAAGACCAATACGCAAAAATTAGCTGTATTTCTATATACCAGCAATGAGTAATCCAAAAATGAAATCAGGAAAACAATTCCATCTATAATGGGATCAAAAAGAATGAAATACTTAGCAAAAAATATAACCAAAGAAGTTCATGACTCATATACGAAAAACTACAAAGCATTGCTTAAAGAAACTAAAGAAGATATAAATAAATGGAAAGATATGCTGTGTTCATGGATCAGAAGATGACACTGTTAAAATGGCCCTACTCCCCAAATTGATCTATGGTTTCAATGCAACCCCTATCAAAATCCCAACTGACTTCTTTCCAGAAATTGACAAGCTAATTCTGAAATCATGTGGCAATTCAAGAGACCAAGAATAACCGAAATAATCTTAATAAAGAGAAACAATGTGTGAGTACTTACATGGCCTGGGTTCAAAACCCAATTCAAAGCCACAGCAATCACAGTGCGGTACTGACATAAGGCTAGACATATATATCAATGGAACAAATTAATAAGAGTCCAGAAATAAACCCTCACATGTATTGTTTGTAGATTTTCAACAAGGGTTACAAAACAATTCAATAAGGAAAGAATAGTCTTTTCAAATGGTACTGAGACAACTGTACATCCACTTGCAAAATAATGAAGTTGAACTCTCCCTACACTTCTTATCAGATATAAAAATTAACTCAAGCATGGCCAGTGTGGCCGAGTGGATTGAGTGTCGTCCCTTGGACTGAGAGGTACCTTGTTTGATTCCCGATCAGGGCACAAGCCAAAGCTGCAGGCTCAATCCTCAGTAGGGGACATGCAGGAGGCAGCCAATCAATGTATCTCTCTCACACCGATGTTTCTATCTCTCCCTTCCTCTTTCTCTAAAAAAATCAATAAAAACATATTTTAAAAATTACCTCAAAATGAATCAAATACCTAAATGTAAGAACTAAAGCTATAAAACCCTTAGAAGAAAACAAGGAGTAAATCTCTATGAACTTGTATTAGGCCAACAGTTTCCTAGATGTGATACTAAAAACACAACAAACCAAAAGAAAAATTAGACTTCATAAAAATGAAAAACTTTTGCGTCTCAAAGGGCAGTATCAAGAAAATAAAAAGACAACACATAGAATGAAAGACAATATTTTCAAATTATATATTTGAGAAAGGCCTACATCCGTAATATCCTATGTATATAAAGATCTCTTACAACTTAATCAAAAGATAAATAGATGTTTTAATGGGCAAAAGATTTAAGAGACATTTCTCCAGAAACGATATACAAATGGCCAATAATCACATGAAAAGATCCTCAATGTCTTACGTCATTAGGAAAATACAAATCAAAGGCACCATGAGATACTACTTTACATTTGCTAAGATGGCTGTAACCAGACAGTAACAAAGGCTGGCAAGGATGTGGAGGAACTGGAATCGTCACACATTGTTGGTGGGAATGCAAAATGGTGAAGCCACTGTGGAAAACAGTTAAACATAGAGTTACTATATGACCCAGCAATTTCACTCCTAGGTACACACCCAAAAGAATTTAAAATGTATGTCCATACAAACACTTGTACGTGAACACTTGTATGTTCACAGTAGCATTTTTCAAAATAGTCAAAAAGAATAGAAAATTACTTGCAAAGCTTTCAAGTGGTTCTGCCACTAATTAATAGTGTGAACCTATGCAAGTTACCCAACGTCTCTGAGTTTCAATGGATATAATAATGGGTACATCACAAGAGTTGCTGGGAAAACGAGGTGAGATATAGTGTGAGGTAACATGTAAAGGGCATGAACCACGTGCCAAGCACTACTCTAAGAGCTTTAGGCACGTTCTCTTGACTTGTACAATAAGTAAAAGTAGTAAGTATAGTGCCTCAAACATAATAAGCACCTAATGAATGGAGGTACTAGAGAACATTATGGGCAGAGGAAGAATTACTATGGTTTTAAAAGAAGATAGATACCTTATCATAAAGATGGGAAGAATAAGATGCAGTTGGAAGGAGAAAAGTATCATCATATCTTCTGGGTTTGACAATCTCAAAACTTTTGAACCACTATAACTAAACAGCCACCCTAAATCATCCCAAAGGACAGACCCCCAGTTGTTGTTTTATCATTGTCAAGGTTTATGCCTTTCGGAATCTAAGAAGAAGCCACCAGGATTCCAGTCCATACCAAAAAGTAATGGCAATGCCCTGTGGTGTCGTGTATGCTCACAGCTGTCTAAAGGGAACCAATCAATGCTGGTTGACTAGGGGAACATTAGGGTGTCTCTGTGACCGCAGCTCAATTGGCCTTCACAGTGTGGCCTGACCTACCTCACTGATATTCTCACCAGTGGGGTAAATACTTCCACAGGGACAGGCTTGGGTTTTCCTCTTCTTCTCCCTTAGTGCCTATGTTCTTGCCCAACATCGATGCTCCACAGACAAGCCAGCAGTGAATGTGCTCCACCTGGACAAGGCAGAGCCTTTCTACAGCGTAGAGTCCCCCGTTTTCTAAAATCATGGGGCTTCTATTGTTAGAATCAATGAAGTGACCTCAGTGAAGTTTTTTAAATAAGCCGTCAGTCTGGACCTGTGTAGGCAAATGCAGAGAAGCGCTTTAAAGTCAGAAAAAAATAAGAATACTTAACATTAGGATTATCAACCACTGCTGGTTTTCCATAATACATTTCACTCCTGATTTTATCTGGAAGAAATATGAGTATGACTACCACTCACACAATGTTATGTTATTAACACACTCTTGGCATGTCATTGAGGTGGATTTCACATTCATAATGGACTCTCTATCACACTACTAACTTAATCACTGAGTGTTAGTCACTAACATAGATACTTCATTTAAGAAACTTACTGAACTATAATTACCTGAAACCCAGAGTGAATCAAGGTTTTATGGAGCCTGAACGTCATCTGTTTTGGGAAAACCTAATGAAAAGATGAAAAACTACGAATATGAAAGTTCTAGGCCCCTCCCACTTGCTAGAACTTGGAAGGGGCCTATGCAAGTGAAGAGCCCTGAAGCTTAAGACTCATTCGTTTCAGGATAAATCCACCTCGCACTTATTACAAACTTATTTAATGCAGGAGAAACATGGTTTCAACTTATAAAACCCCAGGAAGACATGATATAGATGATACAATGACTTAACTCGAGGGGTGGCATCCTCCCTTGGCAAGCTGCCTTTGGAAGAGATGCAACTGAGTTTATATCTCACTGTGGCAAAGGTTTCCTGAAGCAAATTAGTTTTGCCCATGAGAAAGATCTGGCCCCAGACAAAGGACCCAGCCCCCAACACACTTACGGTTTGTGGCAATCTTTTGACAGTAACTGTGAGTAGTTTTAGAAGTACAGCTCTAGTCAAATCACATGATAGGAGTAGCAATTTATTTCTAACACCAGCTAGCTCTGATTCTTTCATTACCTTTTTCTGTCATTAAGATGAACCCAGAAACTCCAGATAAACAAGTTGCTGCCTCCTCTATTAGGAATCTTTTCCAACCACCCCATGCCCCGCTCTGGCTCCCTCCTGTCTCGTCAGCCTGCTGCAGAGATGCTGGCACGGCTCTCGGATGTTACCCCATCAACATCCATCTTCCTCCTTTCACTATACAAGTTTCTTGGAGACAAAGTTCTGGCCCAATTCTTCCTGTATCCCCAGCACTTAGTACAGTGCTGCCACACAGAGGGCACGACACCCAGTCAATGTTTTTGAATGAATTCATTCATTTTTACCCACTGTGATTCCACAGGTTTTTTTCCTGCGTTACCTTCACAACTATAGTGGGACTCAGATTCTAGGGGGGAATCTCAGTGTTATACATGCTTAGCAAAGGCGGTGAGTTTAACACATTGTATTGAAATGTATGCACCACAGAATAAAAGAATTAAGTTGAGCGCCGAGTTCAGTACCAAACCTCGTGGTGGAGGTACCTCACCAGCCTGCTCTCTGACGCGGGCCAAAGCAAACTGACCCTCAGTGTCCTTCCCCAAGTGAGGCATCAGCTACTTCACGCGGGAAGAGGGGAGGCCGCTGCTGCTGGGCATCGGCAGGAACTGTCCATCCAGCTCCAGACCCACCCTGACGCCACGTCTAACCGAAATGAACCGTGTGAAATTGGATTTCTGAACCACAAGACAGGAAGACAGTCTTTTCCAAAGACAAGTTTAGAGGATGATCTTCACCTTGAGTCTCAAATCCTTTTCAGCCACTGAACAAACCCATCACGATTTGCTTGTATCACAGAGAAATCGCAGAATTTTCGAGCTGAGAGGGAATAACATCACAACTTTATATTGAGGAGAAGTCAGGAAAGAAACTGGAATGAGGCTACAGCTATGCAGTTTCTCTGTGAATGTTTTCCCACCACACCTTCACATAACGGCATATTCTCCCACACCTCGAAGGTTCCCTTTGCCACAGAGAATTCACTGCAGAGGCACATACTTTCTGCAAATAACGTTCTGGGTACTGAGGAGAGCAGTGCCCTGTGGCAGGTTAGGAATTCTTTCTGCTTCACCATTTAAGAGACTCTTGGCTGAGGAAGCACCCACACCTTGTGCCCCCGGGTAACTCGGAGCTCGACTTAGTGCTTTCATTCTGTGGTGCGTACATTTAAGCAGCTGGGAACTGGGCCCATGAGCCAGAATCACAGTTAAATTCAGAAGTGGAATTTCAAGGACTATTCATACATGGGCGCAGCAGCACCACTGGGGTTCCCATGACAACGCTACTTTGTTATGGGCCTGGCGCATCTGCTGCCCCTGCCACAGATCAGTACCGGGGAGAGCAGAGCATGGCATCTGTGAGTTAGACCGCTCTCTCGGCCTCTTTGTGCCTTAGTTTCCTCATTTGAAAAAAGAAAGCCTCTTAAGCCATAGTTTTCAGAGTTCAAACTGGGCTCACACCCAACAACCAATCACTCTCCGGTGTTTTTACACATAGGTTTTTACATGTGTTCATCTTCCATTTTACTTACAACTTGTGTAAAAACTGCATTCCATGCCAGGCCTGAAATGTTCCAAAGCTCACTTTTGCGATTAAGTTGCAACCAAGATTTCTACAAAAAAAGACACACGCGAAAGAAGAGAAAAATATTCTCTCAGATATTTATCCTTTAGCAGTGATTCTAATTTATATATGATAAAACAACTTCAATACTCCCTCTCTCCACTAAATCAGTCTCACTGTGGGAGATGTTTGCTTATGAGTCATGCTTCCATGTTCACACGTGGCATTAGATACGAACAGTACATGCTCCAAAACACCTGTACTAAGTGATCTGCATTTCTCTAGAACAGGGAAACACAACTCCGACTCTATGGCATGTGGGCTGGATAACTCTGTTACGGGGGCTGTCCTGTGCCTTGTAGGATGTTGAACAACAACTCCGGTCTCTGCCCACTGGGTGCCAGTAGCACATCTACAGTCCTGACAACCAAAAATCTCTCGCATCTTGCCAAGTTCACCTGGGCGCAGCATCACCCTGGTGAGAACACTGCTGTGGCATGCTTCCTTCCGGTCTCAGACAATTCTCACACGAGTCTGCGCTAGAGACAACAAGGATTTGCTGCAGAACCTAGTAGCTTTCTGCCAATAAAATTTTAATATACTTCAAAATAAATAAGGAGGTTTACAATTAAGTTTTATAAAATTTCTATACACAATGAAGTTATATTTATAACTTACAAATATTTCAAAAAAGGCAATGGTTCAAACGAATTCCTTTGTATAAATTTTATTTCATTGCAGGATACATCTCTGGAAAAAGTAAAGGAAAAATAGTGCCTCAATTAGCTATTAGATATCTAATTAGCAGGAATAACTGGTAGAGGTTAGAATGATAACACTGAATACGCAGCTTTAGTCTAAACTTTTAACCTTAGGAATGTGATTTGACCCTTCCAGAGCCTCTAACCCTGCCCTAGCCTCTCTTAAGGGTCTCACCTTCATGACCTTCATAAATAAAACATGTAACTGCAGACCTGATTAGATCTTGAATTGATTAGATGACTTCTGTGGTCTCATCAAATTTAGATTATGAGCTCAAAGTCTTTATCTATCTTCATATATAATTATAAATTTCTAATATTAAAAGAAATGGCCTCAAGTGTATACACCTTCCTGGTTTAGTTCTGTTTTTCTAGGCCAATTCAGTTCCAGAAGAAATAAAAGATGCCTTTTCACATACTTGAAAGAAAGTTACTCCTCTAATTAATATAGAACTTGAACTAATTCAGAATGACATTCTATTATAGAAATACATTTTTTGTTTTACATTGCTTTAACAATCCGTGAGTTTAATTGCTTTAGTTGTACAGCGGTGGGAAAGCCAAGAACAACATGATGCTGGATTTTTATTTAAAAATACCCTCTCTTGTCTATAGCTGACTGTCTTATTTCCATTGATTCCACTTCAGCCCCTACTGTTCACCAGGGTGGGTCTAACTGTCTTCTGACTGGTGTTTCCATCTCTAGTCTCCCCCTTTCTAATCCATCCTGCACACAGTCACCGGATTAACAGTCCAGACGTGGTTCTCAAATACCAGCCAACATCATTCAGGAACTTACGGAAGATGCAAATTCTCAGCCCTTCTCTGGACCCACTGGATTAGTACCTGTGGGGAGGCAGCCTGAGTTTCAACAAGCCCTCCACGTGATTCTGTCTTAGACTGAAGCTTGTCCTGGAGCACTGGTGTGCTAACACTGCAGCTTGGCATCCAAAGCCCTAGAAGAACTGGCTCTCCTCTCCTCCTCTCCCTACGGCACTCTACAGGCATTGATCCTGTGTTTTGCCTTTCCCCACGCTCCTTCTGCAAGCTTATTCTACCCCCAAATGTCTGTGCAATGATCTCCAAGGGCCCTTGAAAGTCCTGTTCAAACAGCATCGCTCTGGTAACATCTCTTTTCCCTCTGCTGTGCCAAAACCCAATTTACATCTCTCACTGCCCACATCCGTTTCTTCTTTCCCATACAGTTAAGTTTGCATCCTGTTTCCTCTGAGCATAAACTCCTTGAAAGTATGGACTGGGTCCTGCTCATCTGCATTGTCTATGTGAACAGGCGCAAACTCAAATATTTATAAAATAAACAAATAGCTGGGACGTAGAGGGAGAAAAATAACTGTTTCAAAAGAAATGTCATTTTATTACTTCATGGCTCCCTCTTGTGTGCCTCTGCAGCACGTTGTCTTCCATTTAGCCTTGTGCGCTATGGAAGAAGCTTATATGTTTATTTTCCCTGTGAGGTCATGAGTTACTAGAAGGGTAGAAGCCCTGTCTTACCCATCTTTGTGCCTACAGTACTAGGTACAGGGCTTGGCATATTCTTTTTTGGCTTGTTTATTGATTAGTTTTTGTTGTTGTTGTTGTTGTTAATCCTCAACCAAGGACATTTTATCCATTGATTTTTATTTTATTTATTTATTTCTTTTCTTTTTTTCTTTGTAGATGTTAGAAAGAGAGAGGAAGGGAGAGGGAGATAAAGAAATATCAATGAGAGAGAACATCCAGTGGCCACCTCCTCCATGCTCCCCACTGGGGATGGGGCCCACAACCTGGGCATGTGCCCTGGCCGGGAATCTAATTGGCAACATCCCGGTTGCATGGGTTGATGCTGAAGCACTGAGCCACACCAGCTGGGCTCCACTTATTTTTAGAATGAGTGGGAGGAAGGGAGGGAGAGAAACATCCACGTATGAGAGACACATCAAATGGTTGCTTCCTGCAGGGCTGTGATCAAACCTACAACCCAGGTATGTGCCCATGGCCAAAACAGCAACTGCAACCCTTTGGTCCTTGGGCCCGCGCTCTAACTGCTGATCCAAACCAACCAGGGCTTGATTGGCATTTTAATGAATGGGAATACTAATGCTACCGTGAAATAACTAGCTTACAAGGTATTTCACAGTAGGAGTAATGAATGACCCAATCTATGGAGCAGTTAGTTACCTCACTTGTTCCCTCCACACTGTTTGTAAGAACTGGAACCCAGACGGCAGATCCCCGAGAAGACCAGCACAGAACTGGTTGTCCCTCCGAGGCGTGAAAGGTTTGATAATCCAAAGGACTATTTTAGTGTCACATGAGGCTCTTTATACCCACCTCCCGTAAGCCTTCTACATTTGCAAAATTAAGCTATTTGATAAAAACCATCATTAATTAGCTTAATAAGGACTAATGACACACGCAGCTCTGGATGCGATGGACAAAGGACCATAATTGAGTTTTCATAGTAAAGGTCATCTCCCTATCTCTAAATAAATACAATCACTAGGCAAGCATTTCTTCCTTGACAGGGAGGCTGGAGGATTTTTATTTTGTAATTAGTGAAGTTAGGGGCATTGCTGATATGCTAACTTAGTGTAGACATTTCTAAGTATACATCATTTTAAACATTTATTTTCAGTATTGCTATATAACAATTCCAGCATTGATGTTCTCTTGGTAACTTAATATGTTCTTAATAATACTGTTAACATAATTCATCTTCTTAGTGAAACATTTAATATGTAAATGTTAATCTAATTTAGATTAAATTACAAAAAAATTATAGGTTAATGGCATTCAAATTAATTGAGTGTTCTATATTTTCTTTTCCTACAGGAGCCAATTTGAGTTCACCAGAATTCCTCTTATTTTACTAAATCAACATTTTAAAACCTTTTCTGTAAAGGACAGAAGCAAATATTTTAAGCTTCATAGATCACAGATAGTTTGTCTCCAATATCCTTTATTTCTTTTCTTTTTTCTTTTTCAGTCCCCTCCTTTTATTTTTTTATTGATCTTGGGGTGGGGGGGTGGAGAGAGGGTGAGAGACAAACACTGATGTAAGAGAGAAACATCAGTTGGTTGCCTCCTGCACACCCCGATTGTTGATTGAATCTGCAACTGGGGTACATACCCTGACCATGAATTGAACCAGAAACGTTTTGGTGTACGGGATGACACTTTAACCAACTGAGCAACAGTGGCCAGGGCTCTTTTACAGCCTTTGGAAAGTATAAAAATCATTCTTATGTGCTGTAAGAAAAACAAACAAACATACATAGGTCCGATTTGATCCACGGGCCCTAGATTAAATATAAATATAAGCAGCTGGTACATGAGTACTTATATAACAAGTCATTTATGTGTATATAACTACTCAGACCTCATTACCACCTTTCCTCTCTAACTGAAGAGTTTTTCTACCTGCATCTTGTCTACATGATTACAAAACTGAAAATGCATAGGAGATAGTAAATGCTAGAGAGGGCTGGAGCCCTACGCACTTACAGAACTGTAGAATTGCACTGCTGGGAGAAATTATAGAGATGATCTCATTTGAACCCCTTATTTATTTTATAGATAATATAACTTAAAAAACTCATAAGTAAATATAATTAACTTACAAATACTGGAGAGATAATAGGCCTGCAAATGATTCCTTATGTATTTCTTGCAATTTATTTCCACTGAGATTTCTGAAAAATGAAGAGGTTATTTTTGGATCAAAATGCAAAATAATACAACTATTTACTGTACAGAAATATTTGGGGGAAACCTGGATAGTGATGCCATTGAAATACCTTAGTTTTGATTTAAGGATAGTGATCTCTGCTCTTTATTTAAACCTTTCTTCTCACGTCGTCTTTGTGTCCATCTATCTCCATCACACACACACACACACACACACACACACACACCTGTCCACTCTTGCCACCAAATCATGTAGTTAATGTCTACTCTCTAGAGCACAACATCTCTGTCAGAACCCTGCTCCTGGTGGTACCAACATTGGCAGAACTGTCATTTCCTCCTCTCTTTCCCCAAAACCTGTTATGGAAGCCCCATACAGACCTGGATCAGCGCTGCAGGTGAAGTCACTAGATTACTTCCCCCATTAAACAATTCTTCTGAGAACTAAAATGTGCATAGAATGTATACAAGATAAACAGATACCCATATAACACCACGCATGTCAAGAAAGAATACTGTCAGTGTCCTAGAAGTCCACAGGCTGCCCCCTCCAATCACAGCCCTTTCTCTGACTCCAGTTCAAGGGTGTTAGCAACAATCTGGGTACCTGATGCTACTTTTTTTTTTTTAATTTTTTCCCCTTTATAAATTTTAGAGAGAGGGGAAGTGAGAGAGAGAGAGATAGAAACATCGATGCGAGAGAACGTCAACTGGCTGCCTCCTGCATGCCCTCCACTGGGGATCGGGCCCACAACCTGGGCATGTGCCCTGTCCAGGAATCAAACAGGTGACCTCTTGGTGTATGGGTCAATGCTCAACCACCGAGCCACACCAGCCAGACTTGATGCTACTTTTTCTACTGTAAATTCATAAGATCTAAATACAGGTCAAGTCTCTCTGACAAAGAATTTTGCAACTATCCTGGCTGGTGTGGCTCAGTGGATTGAGCATTGTCCCATCGGCTGAGAGGTCCTGGTTCAATTCCCGGTCAGGGCACATGCTCAGGTTTTGTGCTCAATCCCCAGTAAGGGGCATGTAGTAGGCAGTCTATTGGTGTTTCACTCTAACATCCATGTTTCTAACTCTCTCTTCCTTCCTCTGTCTCTAAAATATCAGTTAAAAATATTTAAGAATTTAGCAACCAAACTGGGATTTCAAAGACTTAGCATGGAAAATAGAATGTAAATTCTTCAACAATTTTTCTATTGATTTCATGTACAAATGACAATACATTGTATATTTGAAGACTTAAAGTGAAAAAAATGTAGAATAATGAATAATCTACATAATATGTGTTGAAATTATATTTTGCATGAGTAAAATAAAATATATTAATATTTATTTCCCTGTTTCTTTTTACTTTTATTTTTAAGTGGCTTCCAGAAAATTTAAGATTACCATGTGGCTTGCATTATATATCTAATGAATAGTATTCCATTGTATGACCATACCACACATTATTTATTCACTCTACCACTGCTGGATAATAAGATTTTTCTAGATTTTAGTTGTTACAATGTTGTTTTGAACATTCTGGTACCTGTGTCTTGATACACATTTGCCTGAGTTTCCCTAGGATATAATAGGGAGACAATATTGTTTTTCTAAGATTGAAGGCAGATTGAAACACATCAAGTCTCTACACCTCTAACCTCCACCCAAATCCCTAAAAATAATGGAAAAGATATCATTTAAAAATCACAAACTTCGCTCAAAGCACGGGGGCAGCTCCCAAGAGCTGCGCTACCGGAAGCCCCTGGAGCGCCCTGCAGGGGAGTAGTCGGGACGCTGCAGCAGGAGCAGCTGGCAGCACTTCGCCCACCTCTGCCCTCCTCGGACCAGGCACCAGAGGGTGTGTCCCTCCAGGGGCAGCAACCAGTACTGGAAAGCGGCGGGGTCCTAGAACCCTGGAGAAAGGGTATGTACCCCCCCACACACCCCAATGAGCCCCCAGAAGACACCTCCCTCCACCTCATCCCGATTCCCAGGGGAATCCACTGGAATAAGAAGCCCCAGCAGTTCATTTCACCTCTGCCCTGGAGCCAGAACAACAACTTGAGAAAGCCAACTCCACTGAGGACAGAAACAAAAACCAACACATGAGCTTATGGCCAATGAATCAGAGTTAACAGAGAAAGCACAAGGGGACTTCAAAATAGCACAACGAACATCCTCAGACACGTAAGCAGACAATACATCCATAGAAAGAATTAACTCAAGATTATACAAATGAAGTGTTATCATTCATGAAAAAACAACAACCTCAGTGTATGAGCAGAAATGACAGTTGAATAAATTAGAAACCCGAGAGACCCAGCCAGTGAGTTCTCGGTAATGAAGGAGGGAGGAACAGGAATGAGCCACAGACAAGCCTGACACCAGGGCTGCCCGAGGAACGTGAAGGCCTTTGCTTCACCTGGTCTCGCGGTAACCCCTGGGAACGCGCTCGGGTAGGCGTGGGGGGTGGGGCAGTTTGCACTCCTGTCTTATACCTGATGAGCAGAAAGGCACATACCAGAGCTCCCAGAGTAGCTGAGGGCGGGTAGAGAGCCAGTACAGGAGACACTGTAAAACGTCACAGGTAAGTGTCTCTTGCTGGGAGAATCCCCACCCTTGCAGTGACATTAAGCTGTACACCCTGAGGAGCATGGGGATTAGAGACTGTGCTGTGTCGCCAGTGAGACTACTTCCACCCAGTTCAGCATCTGAAACATTCTGGGGTCCCTCACAGTGTCTGTTGGACACATACTTATATTAACTCCATCTCTTGGCATCATTCCACCTCAAAGCTTAATTCTTTACTCATAGCTGTGGCAAAGCATTACTGCCCAGAAACTCTGCAACTCAGGACAGTTCAGTTATAAGGTTGTTCATATGACACAGAACATACATTTTTAAAAGACCATTAAAATAAAAACATCAAAACTTTAACTACCACAAACAACTCTTGGAGTCCTAAGAATGTATCAAATGACTTGACCTTAACTTCAAATTCACCACATTAGAAGGAACAGCAGTGATAGTCACAATACATATGAAGGAGGAATGGTCACAGGTGATGCTATGATTGATTTGTTTTCTCATCTTCCTTAGGCAATGGTTTCATATTTCCATGGAAATGATCCAAAAAGAAAAAAACTTATCAGTATTTCCAACGATGTCTATAGTGATCCTTTAGGTAAGAATAAAAAGTTGGAATAAACTCTACCTCCCCATATAACGTAACAAAACTATGTGTATAGTATGGATGATACACAAAAAGGTCATAGGAAATAATGTTATATAAAAAAATCAAGACAATAATCAAAGTTGTATATACTAATTATAACTTACAACTATAAACCTCACAAGGATTCAACAAGGACAGAAGAAATGAGGGCTAATCCTCAGCTCTTTGTAACAGCTTCTCTAATTGGCTGGCGCTCATGTCAGACTCTTTGGTGAAGGAGTATGAAGTTCATGGTAAGAGGGGGAATAACCAAAGTGTGTGTATGTAGTTTACATTAATGTGGTTGCTTTTGTGAAGTTGTTTGTTGACAGAATAGTAAAACTTTTTTTTAAATCTTTACTGTTGAATGTATTACAGATGTTCCTCATTTTTCCCCTATTGACCCCCTCCTCGTCACCCCCATCCCCCTCCTGCCTTTTCCCACACTGTTGTCTGTGTCCATTGGCCATGTATATATGCATATAAGCTCTTTGGTTCATCTCCTCCCACCCTCCAAACCCTCCTTCCCTTTGAGGTTTGTCAGTCTAGCAACCAATTTGTTCTTCTTAATCCCTTCACCTTTTTCACCCATTCCTCCAACCCCCCTTCCATCTGGCAACCAATAAAATGTTCTCTGTATCTATGAGAATGTTTCTGTTCTGCCTGTTCATTTTGTTTGTAGATTCCATTGTCGGTAGATATGTATTCATTGCCATTTTGTTTGTTCATATATTTTATCTTTTTCTTCAAAGAGACCCTTCAACATTTCATATAATAACGGTTTGGTGGTGATGAACACCTTTAACTTTTTATTGTCTGGGAAAGTCTTTATATGGCCAACAATTCTAAATGACAGCTTTGCAGGATAGAGTAATCTTGGTTGTAGGTTCTTGCTTTTCATCACTCTGAATATTTCTTGCCACTCCCTTCTGGCCTGCAGTTTCTTTTGAGAAATCAGCTGACAGCCTTATGGAAACTCCCTTGTAGGCAACAAACTGTTTTTCTCTTGCTGCTTTTAAGATTCTCTCTTTGTCTTGAACCTTTTGCATTTTTTTTTTATCCTCATCCGAGGATATTTTACCATTTTTTGCACAGATAGAGTGGGAGGGAGAGAGAGGGAAACATCGACGTGAAGGGACACATGGAGTGGCTGCCACCCACACGCCCAACCAGGGCCGGGGACAAACTGCAACCGAGGTACGTGCCCTTAGCGGGAACCAAACCCGGGTCTCTCCGGACCACAGGCCGACGCTCTAACCGCTGAGCCAAACTGGCCAGGGAGAACCTTTTGCATTTTGATGATGATGTGTCTTGGTGTGGGCCTCTTGGGGTTGTTTTTGTTTGGGACTCTCTGTGCTTCCTGGACTTGTATGTCTGTTTCCTTCACTAAGTTAGGGAAGTTTTCTGCCATTATTGTTTCAAATAAGTTTTCGATTTCTTGTTCTCTCTCTTCTCCTTCTGGCACCCCCAAGATGCGAATGTTGGCACGCTTGAAGTTGTCCCAGAGGCTCCTTACACTATCCTCATTTTTTTTGGATTCTTTTTTCTTTTTGCTGTTCTGATTGGGTGTCTTTTGCTCCCTTATATTCCAAATCGATGGTTTGCTTCTTGGCTTTACCTACTCTACTATTGAATCTGTGTAAATTATTCTTTATTTCAGTTAGTGTCTCTTTCATTTCTGACTGGTCCTTTTTTATGCTCTTGAGGCTAGCAGTTCGCTGAGGTTCTCACTAAGTTCATTGAGCATCTTTATAAACAGTTTGAACTCAGCATCTGTTAGGTTGCTTATCTCCATTTTGCTTAGTTCTTTTCCTGGAGATTTTTTCTGTTCTTTCATTTGGGACCTGTTTCTTTGTCTCATTTTGGCTGCCTCCCTGTGTTTGTTTCTGTGTATTACTTAACAGCTCGGGTGGGCCTGAAAGTGGGGCGGGGCAGGGCCTCAGGGAGTCACCAGGGCGGGGCTACCCGTATGAGCCAGGTTGCTGGAGTCCCAGATATGGCGGCTGTCTGCAGCCCCAGGGAAGGGCTCACCAGAGGAACAAAGGCCTCTGACAGCACGTCTGTCCCGGAGAAAGCCCCCTCTCCAGCCCCCGCTCCAGTGCCAGACAGCTCAGTTCTTCCCTGTATGTCTCTGGCGCCCCTCGAGCTGCCTCCCCTCCGAGCTTAGAGGGAGAGAGTCCGATAAGTCCGTGTGCGGGCCCTTTAAGGATCTGCCTGGGGCTCCAGCCGCCTCAGCCTCCCTGAGCCTCAGTTCCTGCTGGTTTTTCCAGCCAGAAGTTTTGGGACTTCTCTTCCTGGCACTGGAACCCTGAGCGGGGCGCCTGGTGTGGGACGGGGACCCCTCAGTCCTCAGGAAGGACCTTCCCAGCCGAGGTGTCCTCCTGATTTTTATCCGCCACACGTGGGTGTGGGACCAGCCCGTCGTGCCGCCGCCCCACCTACCAGTCTGGATGTGGCTGCTGCTTTAATTCCGTAGTTGTAGGACTTCCATTCAGCTCGATTTCAGGCGGTTTTGAATGACGGTTGTTCTGTAGTTTAGTTGTAACTTTGACGTGGTTGTGGGAGGACGCGATACCGCTTTTACCTACCCGCCATCTTGACCGGAAGTCGGATAGTAAAACGTTTTAAGTAACAATAATAAATTAAACCAGGAGGAAAATTTAGTCTGAGAATGAGTCAGTCACCAAAAAATTACCCCCAAAAGAGGACCTTCAAGTAAGCAACTGACTGCTGTCAAATACACTGATCTGTAGAACTTCAAATATTCATTTTGACCAAAGTAAAAAAAAAAATTAAAACAATAGGGAATCAGCATTGAAGCCAGGTCTAAAATTTTTGCACACTGTGAAAATATCAAAACCAGGCAAGAACTAACATTTAAGAAATATCCACGTTTGACTCCTGGGCGGCTTCGTTTCCTGAAGGTCAGCTTCTGGATTTCACAATGTTCGTTCTTGAGTCTATGTTAGTCCTACCTGTGTAAATTCTAGAAAGTTGAGAGAGCTCAGGGTTGTTTTGGAAGACTTACTATACAAAAAAATGCAACCACCAGGCCCTTCTAGAATTGATTCACTTTCCTTCTCCAGCTTCCTTTCTCTCCTAAGACCTTATCAATACTTGAAATTATATCGATCTATTTATTCTATATATATATACAATTTTACATTAAATACGTGTAAACCCCTTGAGAAATGGGGTACTTTGTCTATTTTGTTCTTGGGCCCATAACCCTGGCACGTAAGCAGTTCCTGGCATGTAGCGGATGCTCCATAAATACTTGTTCAATGAATTCAGATGGCAGGCATCATTTTCAGCATACCACTTTTCCCGAACACAAATCATCCATGGAGTATCACTCATGAGGGTAAGTTCGGCTTTACAGGAAAGGAAATGTCTTTCTTCTCCCCCACATTTGTGACTCTTAATCTTTTGAGACAGGAGCCCTGTGAGAATTTCATAAAAGCGATGGCCCTTCCCCTAGAACTGCGCTCTCCTGAATCCGTGCAGAGTGTGCATGTAGTTTCCACCTGTGGGTCATCCCTTTAGGGCAGAGGTCGGTGAGTAGGAGGGAATGGACTGAATTCAGGGGGCCAAGCCTAGACGGGAAATAAAACTACATCTCTCGTTTCACAAACCTCTAACTAAAATTAGCATTGCCTTGCATTGTGAATGTGGATTAGCATAGTAGATTAGCAGTACAGTAGTTAACTGTATCTCCAACAGAAATATCAGATATTTTCATATCACATATTCATTGCAGATATCTCAAAATATCATTTATTCATTCTCATCACTACCTTGAAGTTATAACAGCTATTCGACCTACCACTATAGCTCATTATTTAATTTGTTAAGAGAAGCATATTTATTACTATATCAACAATATATATTTTTTTATCCTCACCCGAGGACATTTTTTCCATTTTTTGTTCAGACAGAGTGGGAGGGAGAAAGAGGAAGAGAGAGAGAGAAACATCGACTTGAAAGGGACACATTGAGTGGCTGCACGACCAACCAGGGCTGGGGACAAACTGCAACCGAGGTACACGCCCTTAGCGGGAACCAAACATGGGTCTCTCTGGACCGCAGGCCAACGCTCTAACCGCTAAGCCAAACCGGCCAGGGCTCAACAATATTTTTAAAAAATATTTTGAAAACTGTATTTCAATAATAGGTTTTCTTTATTTTCCTTTATATTTCAACTTATAAATCATTTAAAAACCTAGTCCTCATGAACATAGGTTTCTACACATTACCAAAGAGACACATGGAAAAAGAAAACAAAAAACAGAAGTTAAGAAATCCTGCCTAAGTTAGGAGCCTCTCCCTTACAAGGTATTAATCTCAAGCTGACTTTGAAATTCAAACCTTACCAGGTTCATGTTATTGAGTATAAACTCCCAAACACAAGTATTTTCTAAGTTGATGTTTAAATTTCATTTTATTTTAAAAGTATGTAATACTGATTCTCATGTCTCAAAATTCCAAAGGTATGTATACAGCACACAATCCAAAGTTTTTCTCCTATCATCTTTCAGACTACCCCACTCCCTCTACTCCTTAAAGGAACTAATGTTATTTTTCTCTTGTGCCAGGTGACTTTCATTTTTTGTCACCAGATAATAACATAAAAATATAAACTATATACACTCTCCCAAAAAACTGTAAGTTTAAAAAGACAACAACTGCCAGGTTCTAGCATTTTTTTCCTTACCAATAAGGCATCAGACTAAGGGAGGAATATTTTAGGGTGGTCATAAACCCTATTTTTAGATTAGTATGACTATTATGTGTTTCATTATTAATTCAGAAGTCATTTATGATATTCATTCAAGTGGAACTGATAATATGACATATAAACTGTCTTGAAAAATGCGGGTAATTACTTGGAATGTAAATATTTTTTCCCAAATCACTTATGTGCCTAAACTGACTTTTTGACAAATTAATAAATAAAGATAAACAAATATAAAAATAAATAAAGATAAACAAAGATAAAAAAAAGAAAAATGAGCAAAAAAAAGGACAGGGCAAATTCAGAAAAGAAATACAAATGTTCAATAGATATACAAAGATATTTAAATTCCCAAGTGATCAGAACAATTCAAATTCAGACGGGACCCCTTTTATTCGCCCTCCGGGTCAGCCCCCAGATGGCGCCTGCCCAGTGGTGGAGGGCAGAGGGAAATGAAAGCTGCCAGGGCCCATCGACGGGAGTGTACCTTGGCACAGCTTCTCTGAGGGCAATTAAATGTTACATCCATACAGTCTTCACCCCAACAGTTCCATTTCTCAATATCTACTGTGCAGAAATACCCACTCATGTTCCCAAAGATGCATGTACAAGAATGTTCGTTGCGGCAACACGTAACAAGAAAGCTGGACATAATCTAAACACCCATCAATAGGGGTTTATTAAACTACAGAATATTATGAGGAGTTTAAATGAATTGGGTAACCCTCTATGTACCAAGAAGGAAACAAATCTAAGATATATCATGAGGTGAAAAAAGCAAGTTGTGGGATGTTACCATTTATGTAAAATTTTTAAAAAGATATGAAAATCACAAACAGACCTACTTTGCTATCTGTAATTATGTATGTAGGCAAATGCGTGGAAAACGGTCTGGAAGGATGGATAGGAAACTTAGAGTAGTGGTTACCTCAAGGGTGGGGGGAAGGGTGGGGGCTGAGGGCACAGGCAGGGTTTTCACTATACCTGTTATGTCACTTTTATATATTGAGAAAACGATCATGTATTACTTACTATAATGGAAAATAAGTTTAAATTGACTCTTATTTTAAAGAGAGCCTAGCAAATTTAATTTTTAAATAAACAGAACTGCAATCAATAGAGGTTAATTTGGGATATGGAGGAGGAAATTCCTTTTCTCAGAACTATGACCTCCAAATTCTGGACCAAGAAGAATCTTACAACGCAGTTAGGGTTTTTTAATATACTCACAGTTTCTCAACCAAATGGTATGACTTCCATGTATCTTTATCGATGTAAGCAATAGAGTTCCCTTGTAACTTTCTGTGAAGAAACACAGTTAATATCCTTGAATAGGTGGGAAGAGAATGAACAGAATAAGTCAAACAATCATGGCAACCTTGTGGGGACACTGAAATGCAGAAAACACCCGCTTTCTAACTTCCACACTGCAGCTTCCCAGTTTGCACAACGAACAAAGACACAGCGGGGCCCGGGCACCGCAGCGAGGCATCGCCTCAGAAGCTGCACCCTCTTGGATGGGTAATGCCAGTGCGGAACCTTGAGTGTTTGCTCCAAAGTCACTTGTGTCTAAGTGACTCCTGCTGTGAATTAATGAGAGAAGAATAATTCAACAGAAAAATGCAAAAATGTATCAGTCTCAGCAAGTAAATGTGAAGAAACCTTATGCCAGGCCGCCCCAAAGCTTTGCTCAGTGCCCTCTGTGGAATCTCCGCAGGTGTTGGGAAGACGGGCAGTGAGGGATGAGAGGACTGGCAGGGAAGCTTCCTGGACACATCCGACAGGGAGAAGCACAGCTCACCGAGGGAGGAGGAAAGTACGACCTCTTCAGAGGAACAATGCAAAAGGAAAGAAGAGAGAGAGGGATTGGAAGGATAGACACTCACCAAAATGGTAACAGGAGTGGTAGAAAGGGTGGGTGGGATTTTCACATTAGATGCCATGTACTTCTGTGACATTTAAAAAACAACAAAGTGAGAATGTGTCCATGAATTACAAGTGCTTAAAAGAGGTTGTTAAATACCCGAGGTTCAGTTTCAACCACTAACTCTGTGGATGACTGAGAATCTGTTCCTTTAGCTTTGCCCTCTCTCTCAGCAACAACTTACCTATTCGGTTTACATACACATTTTTTAAGGATATCAGAAAAAGTCAGACACACACCCGTCTGCCCCTCTGCCTAGTGGACATTTCCACTCAAGCAGAAGCCTCTGGTTGCTCTATGCTCACCAATAAACGCTGCCCAAACTGGACTCGCCTCCCTCCAACTGGCCCTCCTTCCCAACCGCTGTGCGACCTCCTGTTATAGCACCGCCCTTCTCATCGCCCGGGACAGAAGTTTCCCTGGGTCGTAGCTGATCTTTCTCTTCCTGTACATCCCACCCCAGCTCCGGTCAGTTACTGAATCTCGTCAGTCCCTCCTCCTAGTGTTCCCAGGAGTTTCTACTCTGATGACAACCACTGGGATTCAGCGGCTTCTCACTTTACTCCTAGATTTTGCAAGAGCATTTGGTTTGGTCTCCCTGAGTCGAGCTTTCCTCCTGAGATCACTCTACCTATGGAATCGAAAAGAATCCTCTTATTTTGATCATCTGTCTCTCTCACTTGCAAACTTGCAGTGGCTCGCCCTGTCTCAGTGTAATTCCAAACCCCCATAGCTGACAGCCAAGGGTTTGCATAATCATACTTTTCACTGCTTCCTAAACCAATTCTCTGCAACCAGACTGGTCCATTAAGTGCTGATCATTCCTGCAGCCATGATCTATACTCACTACTCTATCTCAGTTTAACAAACCAAGCCACCCTGTAAGTCCCAGCTCAAGTCCTAGCTTGTCCATGCAGCTTCCCTGACTCCCACACCCCAGTGACTACAGATTCTGCTGAATTACAGCACCTCTGGCCCGTTTCTCTTTTAATACTTAATTACCTATCACCTTTTTAATGCATATTCCCCCTCTTCCACCTACCACTGTCATGTTCCATAGACAATGTCATACTGCTGTGGCTCCCACATACTTAGCCCTGGTTTGGGCACAAAATTGGTGACATAGGTAGAAAGCCAGGGGGTGAGGATGAGTCCTGGACATGACTGAGGAATCGAATAATGATAATAATATGGTAGCTAACACACACGTTAGGCACTGAGGTAAGCACTCTACATATATTAACTCGTCTAAATCTCACAACAATCCTATGAGGTGGAAGCTATCATAATCTTCATTTGACAGATGAGGAAAGTGAATCCCAACGCTGATGAATGGCACACCTGGGTTCAAGCCCAGTCCCTCTGGCTCCAGAACCTCTACTCTGAACCACTTGGTTGTGTCACACCAGGGAGATGGGCAGAGGGCCATGTTGCTGTAAGGAGGGCGGAGTGAAAGTGGGAGGACAGAGGAGGTTCAGGAATGAAGTGATGGGGCTAAAATATGGGTCAGGAAAACAATGTGGGCATTTACAAGTAAAAGTCTGGTGAAGGGGGAGCAACAGTAAGGAGGAGAGTGCAGATACGGAACAGCTGACAGAGATAAACACGGAGAGTCGGTCAGTGTGGGCTGGAAGATGCAGACACCCAGGAAGGCCCGAGGAAGAGGCTGCCCTGTCAGGGGCTGCAGAACAAGGAGGAAAGGCAATTCTCACAGGACGGTGACGGAGCCCTTGAAGTTGCTGCGCTCTGGCACAGGTACGCTGTGGAGCTTCTGCTCTGGGCTGAGACCAGTACACGACAGCGTCCCGTTACAGCAGGTACACAGCTTACATAAGTTCCTGGAGGCATGGTGTGGCACTGGAGAAACTGACTGATGTTCCTGAGTCACGGTAACTGTGCCTGCAGGCAAGGCTGCCTGCTGAACCTGAACAATCTGTGGAAGTGGAGGTGTCTCCTCAGGGGGGTTTGGCGGAGGCATAGTCCGCTGCATGGCTGCAGAATCAGACTCCAAAGCAGGATCTGCAGTCGGGGTGACCTCCAGGTACAACTGTTGAACTGTTGGGCGCAGAGCCTGAACAGGCTGTGGAAGTGGAAGTGTCACCACAGGGGGGTTGGGAGGGGCTCTGGTCTGCTGCACGACTGTGGCCTCAGTCTCCACAGTAGGATCTGAAGTTGCAGCGACCTCCAGGTACAACTGTTGAACTGTTGGGTGCTGAGCCTGAACAGGCTGTGGAAGTGGAACTGTCACCACAGGGGGGTTGGGAAGAGCTGTGGTTTGCTGCAGGACTGTAACAGCAGTCTGCAAAGAAGGCTCCTTAGTGATGGTGAACTCCAGGTGGAATGGTTGAATGGTTGACAGCTGAGCCTGAACAGGCTGTTGAGCTGGAATTGTCACCTCAGGGGACTTTGGAGAAGTTGTGGTCAGTTGCAGGGCTGTAGCCTCAGCCACCAAACAAGGCTGAGCTGGAGTCCCCTGCTGGGATGGAAGCTTGACCTCTTCAATGCACTTTGCAAGAAGAGTTGAGGCCTTGTCTCCTGCAGATGGTTCATTCATTTTCTGGGGCACTGATGTTATCAAAATCCCTGGTACTAGAGCTGTTATAGGAAATCGGGCTTCACTCAAACCTAGAGGTGAGACTGTCACCTCAGGCTGAGCTATGATATCCATAGAAGCCTTTGGAAGGACAGAATCAAGGGCCAGCTCTGGAGGCTGAGCTGCCTGGACCTGCAGCCATAACATCTGCCAAGTGAACAGGAGCCGTGGGGCCCACAGGTGCAACCCGGACATGACAGGCAGAGGTCCGGGACATACCGAGCGACCCATGAGAGCGGAGTGCAGCAGCGACCCAGGAGAGCAGGCACAGAGAGCGACCCAGAAGAGCGGGGCGCAACAAGCAACCCAGACAAGGGTGGTGTCAGCACCATGTGCTGAGCAGGAGCCCCACAACTGCCATCTGTGTCACAATTGGCAGCCCTGTCATAATTGGCAGCTCTGTCACAATTGGCAGCCCTGTCATGCATGTGCCCCTTAGCAACCAAGCACCCGCCACCGCCTCAGGTTCCAATCTTTGTTTAGACAACATTTATTAGTCTTGGGCTGAGTGACTGCAGAAGAGTGAGCCTTCCTCCCAGAATCGCCAGGGACCAAGTGGTCCTTTGCCCCTAAAGAGGGGACAACTACCTCCTGCTGGGCCTCCCCACCCCCCTCCCCGTGAGGCAGGATTTGGGCTGCACACCTGGGTGGCCCAGGACTCCAGCAGCCCAGGGATGGTGGGATGGGGGATGTTAAAGGAGGTGGGGAGTTGGGGGGTGCCACAGAGCTTCCTAAGGAAGCCACAGGCCTGGCACCCCGGGAAATTCAGCAGTACTAGTCCATCCAGTTCAGCAATCTGAGCGCCTCCTCACAGCTGAAACCTGAGAGACACTCTTCCTCCCCTTGGCCATACAGCTTCCAAGCCAAGTAGCTGACCTGAGAAGTACACCAGTCAGGGCGGCGGGGAGGGGGACACACTTCACAGTTCTAAAAGGTTGCCCTTTCCTTGCAATTCTCAATATCCATGTCTGATTCTTTTCTTTTTTTTTTAATTCTCACCTAAGGTTGTGTTTATTGATGAGAGAGCGAGAGAGAGAGGAGAGAGAGAAACATCAATTGGTTGCCTCCTGTACACATCCCAACAGGGTGATCAAACCCACAACCTAGGCGTGTACCCTGACTCGGAATCAAACCCACAACACCTTGGTGCACAGACGATGTTCCAACCAACTAGACATCGGCACGGGCTCCATGTCTGATTCTTAATTCACCACTCTATTAGACAGGGGCTACCACTGAATCAGTGAGACTCCAGAATTTCTCTAGATGGGATTTTGGAGCGTGAGCAATTCATTCTGGGGAGGAGAGTCTGAAACCAAGTGAATATCCCGTCACAGCGGTTTGGGAAAATGTCCCCCTCCCACCCGGGCTCAACACGCCATTAATGGAGAAGAGGAACAGGGCCACTTTTCTGAGGTCTGCCCTGTGCGCACATGGAGAAGACACTTAGGGAGTGAAAGCCGCACGTGAAATACTTTTGTGGAATACTGTAACTGACACCCAACTTGCTTCCTGCACAGCCCTTTTTATTTTTCTATTTTATTTTACTCCTTGTTCATTGTCTGGCACAACCTCCAGCATGTGAACCCCCACAGAGAAGGGGCTGCATCTTATTCCCAGTGTCTAACATAGTAATGGCTTTTAACAGAAATTGATTCCAAGACTGGTCTCATCGGATAGATCTCTTGTTATAATCAGGTTTCTGGAATCTTTAGCATCAATACTGAATCCCTTCCTCACATATTTCCCAGGAAGATAGACTTCTGCAAGCCCAGGACA